ATGCAAGTATGTAGGGACATGTAATCTCGATAGCTTAAACCATGAATAAAGAAAAGGAGTAATCCATATTTAGCAGGCAAACGATCGACGTCTTCTGGCACACTTACCCTATGCACTATCTAACGTAAAATATGCGATATATTATTTTGTTTATTAAATACTATATTAATATACAAATAAAATCTGCCGTACTTCACTTCTAAAAACTGTGACAAACAGGCGGTAAGCGCCAGGTTTGGACTTGCCAACTGGATAACGCTACCTTACTGGTCTTAGCAAACTGCAGCATGGCACACAAACATGAAAGCTCACTACTTGAACAAAATCATCAAAGTATCTTGCTTTCGGAACAGTTCAAAGAAAATATATCTGAGCAAATTAAGTAATTAATACGCAAATGAATGTGAAAAAAATAAAACAAATAAAGCTTTGGACAAGCCTAAGAACAAGAGAGCTATAGCCGATTTACTGCGCAACGACAATAAGGTAAAGGAACAACTGGTGCTTCAGAGTTTAAATCTTTGTCATCACCTCAAGCCCATACCTGAACTGCCAAATAGGGCGTCAAAGAATATGCAGCTTAGCCACTGACTACGGTGTAACACGCGTTCGCTGTGGCTTCTTCTCGTAAATATGCGTGTGCACGACTTGAGGCGATGATCTCGATTGCTACTTTTAGAGTCGAGCGTCGGTACGCGCATTTCGTGGCATCGCTTAGATCTTGATAGGAATCCACTCCCACGTCAAACTGGTCCCAGATTGCAGCAAAGTCAAGCACATTTCCACGGAACTTCGACAACAACCACTTCGGCAGCCGTGATCCAGGAGTGAAGTCACTTTTGGCACGTTACAAAATATCAGCTTTGTGCTCTCCTTCACTGTTTCTTGGAGATACGCTCTTACGCTGAAATGAATCGTTCAAATACTGCTCTTATACGCCACCCATTCTTTGATCTCTTGTTCCAGCACAGATCCAGAGAAAAGTTCAGTCTCGAACTCGGCTTGGTACTCTTCGCATTTCAGGAAGTACCTATCCATCGAGGTACAAGCTTCTTCGACTTCTGGCCCGTTGTCTGAATCTCGTAGGAGCTTTCAACGCTTCTTAAAATGTAGTTAATCCGCGCTTTCAGATAGCCGATCCTGCTCTTGAGCGCTTCAATCTCTTCTATAGCTCGCTGGTTCGTATGCATATCCAGTTCGGAGGACCAATGAGCATGGCTTGATTTGACTGTCTCTTTCAGATCTTCAGTGACCTCGTCGGCAGCGATTATCCATAAAAGTCGTTTAGAGGGCCAGTGCAGATTAATTGCACACAAAGTTTACTTGACGAAAACATCGCATACAAGCAAACAACTATCGTACATGAGGCGACAACGAACAAACAAAGCTTAGTCGTCTCAGAATATGCTAAACAACCCTACTACGCCCGGCCCAACCATTCATATCCGATTCGTTGAACAGCTGCATTGGCATGTTCATTGTCGGATTGCCATTACGATTAGTAGCACAATTCTCTCATCGTGTCATTTTCATCCGTAAAGATAGGAAAGACGGCAGGGTTTCGATGTTCAACTGGTGTTACTGCCTATAACGCATCGGCAGCTGTACCAAGTGCTCTCGACGCATGTGGTTCAGCCCCTTTAATTCTTGTTCGTCGTGAACAATGCGCATATATCGTGTTGATGTTGTCGGTAGGGCACCTTAAGACGAAGACTCGAGCTGGGAATACGTTGTGGCTTTAAAGTTTGGCATACCGTTTTGTAATGCTGGTAGACAACCGTAGTCACCGACAACAAGGGTGATGATATTCAAATCGAGGTTCGGTATGCCGGTCAATACAACTCGTGTAGTCCATTGCATTGTGCACAAGCTTCCCCATCAAACCACTATGCCCACTCCACGCCATCCACCGCACTTAGCAGATTGTAGTTGCAGTGAAATCGACTGCTATTCAGCCATGTTCGCTACGAAGTGGGAACAACCGCTCAAAATCTGGAGAAGCGAAACCCAGAATGCCACCATGGCAGTACTGACGATATATGTTATCTTCCCAATTGGTAATCCGTCCACTCCGGTATCAAATGCAATTAATTCACAGTTCAGATGAGTAAACTGTGGTTTCCAAAAAATCACTGCATACGCCTCAGTCCAAACCTTACAATGTAAACCGAAACATGCAGGAGATGGAGAAGAGGGATAGTTAACGGTAAGCTTAACGAAAATTCGTTAAGACCGAGACACTACCGGCTTGAACCCAAGTGTAAATCAAATTCAGCCCATTCTGGTACAGACGGCAACGTATATAAATCTACGGAGAGGCAGTATTATAATGGTTGTTTGAACTTGTATGTGTGCATGTGATGTGATGTTCAACATGCGATGAGGCCTTGTATCCACGTACTGGGGGATTATAAAATAATGGAACCGCTGCCTACCTAGACGATTTTATACAGTTCTGAACCAATCCAATTGACACAATGCAATTAATGCCGCGTAAATTAACAGAAGTGACGTGTATCGCTCAAAATTTAATTTATTAGACGGTCAATTAAACACTTACAAGTCTTCTTCAAACTGCAAAGAAGTTCAAACGCTTCGATCCGTACATCATCTGAAGGGTAGAACAAAATACAGCGTAGAGTTTCCACATCCTGTAATAGCTGTGTTAAATCTGGAAAAAGAAACATGCATGCATTCGCACAAACGCTTCGAAAGAACGGCTGCCGATGACAGCGGCTTTGAGCAAGACAACGGAAGCCCAGATGCGTGTTTGTTCATTGCTTATGTTGTGACCGACTTTCGCCTCATTGCAAGGTCTGACGTCGAAGCTACACAGGTTTAACCAATTCACGTCTTGCCATGTGAAACAAGACGAATCCGACTTGATCAAGTCACTCGGCGAATACGGCACATAGGCGTACAGAGATTTTGGACATATCTTTGCAACCAGCGGCAGCCAGTACCTGCTGACATTTGAAGCTGTGATTCTAAAAATGATGAAGTCATTAAAAGCTGACCACCAACCCTAAAGTTATATTCTTACCTATCGGAATCATGCAATAAACGAACCATGAACCGGATATATCGCTCGAGAGCGCAGTCAGCCTCGTTTTCGATCGAAAGTCTTAAACGTAAAATAAAGCAATCATTGCTGTTCATTATATTCGCAAATAAATGAAACACAAATGTACGAATAAGAGAGCAGGGCGTCCCTTAAGCTTAATCACCAATACTCAATTAAATCAAATCGACTATGGTTTAAAGCATTTTGAGAGCTAAATCTGATTTTCAAAAAATGCATGCTGCCTCATCAATACATGTACATGTATTTATAGCTATTTTGTGCAAACGGTATGTAGATATCCTACATATAACTTTTCCTCATTTTTGGTGCATCACGAGCGCAAGTCGACCATTCTTTAATATTTTCTATTCTAAAGCGGATGTTTGTCAGTCCTTTCGTGTGCCAACTCCCCATTGCCAATATTGCCCAACCCGCATTCAGTCAAACGAATTCAGATAAGTGAGGCCCTTTATGAGGTTTCGGCCACAACGAGTGGCAGACAGCTATCGTCTACTTGAGCCTACAAGAACGACTTCCTACAAAACTTACAGTCCCTCATTTTCGAATAAATATCGTAAAAAATATTCTGCGAAGAAAGGTTTCGCAAGGGAATACGAATGTACTTGATACTGGCAGATGTTTTTTTTCTTCTTGCGATAAAAGCTGTATTCTGCAAATTACGTGTTTGCAATTGTGAATATCAAACTTTTGTTGAAGGATAGCAAAAGTGCAAAAAAAACTAAAAAATGGAGAAATACAGTGAGAAACACACCTTAAGCAATATGCATACAGAACTGTCATTTGGTCCTCATAACCAGGAGGCCAACTAAGCAATACCAATACCTGGCTTGTTCAATCATGTTTCAAGGTCTGCTGATGGACATTATAATGCCTAGAACTCCACGGAAAGGAAATCAGAGAGGGCTTAGAGGAATAATGGCTCATTATGCTCTTGTCAAACATCTATGAGTTCTTCACAGAGGTACCGACAACAAGCTGATTCGAGAGAAACTACACGGTGAACAGTCAAAATGTCAAGCAGGATTAGAGATGAATTTAGAGGTGAAATCATAGAAAATCTAGAAGTGATACAACGAATAATTCAGACAAGCAATGAAAATCAGCTTCCTCTATGCCTGAAGTTCGTCGATTTTGAGAAGGCCTTTACACATTCAGCATCCGCTCAGTACCGGATTCCTTGAGGATCCAAGAAATCGAGAAAAGGTACTGATACCTCATCCCATGATGCACAACAATGCAACTATTACAGTGAACTCTATCATGAAAGCAAAAGCAAGTTCAAAATCGAAAAGGGTGCTCGACGTAAGTGGAAATATTACCAGCAAATACAAGTTATCCACAGCAACCCTAGAAGAAGTTTTCAAGTCACCCCGTCGGGAAAGTCGGGAGCTGGAAAAAACAGGCATTAAGCCACTCGTATCATGGGCAACATTATCAAGGTCACAAAATTAACTCCAAAGAAGAATTAAAGAGCTAAATGATGCATCATCAAAGCAGGAAAATGTAGGTGAACAAGGCTCAGGTAAAGTTTAACAAATACGTGACCACGTGATAAGTAGAAGTCAACAAAGTCAGGTTTCAAGAAGTGAAAAACTGAGTTTTGAGGGACAGCAGCTCATCTCTGCAATGAAAAATCTGGATGCCCATCTTTACAATGAAAAATCAAGTAGGTGAAATCATCAGAAGAATAACAATGGCATCGAACAATTCTGGAAGACTGAAAAATTTCCTATCGGGGAAACTGCCCTTGTTTTTTGAAAAGGAAACTTTTCGATCAGTTTGTACTCCCAGTGCCAACCGATGTGTGCAAACCTTTTACTCTTAGACTGTTAGCTAGTCATTAACTGCGGACTACGCAACGTAGCACGGAAAAAGGAATGCAGGGAATAATAATAATAACAAAAATATAGATAGAAGAATGAATGGATGACAGCACAAAGGTAAGTCACTGATATCACTGCAAAAGCGAAGAAGATGAAGATGCAATGGTAGGAAATGCCGCAAGACGAATCGACCATTGCAGGATCAGAAAGACACTAGAGTGGGTTTAAACAGAGAATAAACGGTCGGAAGGAAGACCTGCCGATCAGTGGCACGATGAGCTGATGAATTTCGTTCGATCGAAAGAGATAAAAATTGCTCAAAACAAAAATCTGTGGCAAAGTACTGGAGAGGCCTTCATCCAACGGTGGATTTAAAAAGTTGATTATGATCAACACTATAATAATGCATATTTAGTATTCAAAAGATGAAACGATTACTCTGTACACATCCGCCTTCAAATTACCTCGTGATGATTATTTTCCACAAAGACGCCGACAGCGACGCCATATGTATGGGTGCCACGGCTTTCTGCAGATGAGACATAATGTTGCTCTCCAGACGGAATAACTACAACAAGATACGTAAACTCTTAAGCTAATTTAATCCTGTCGTTTAGAGCTACGGTTTTCGGCGGGCATTCTTCGAATAGTACGGCCAAGAGGCGGAATTTGCCTCGGACGAACCACGGATAGGCGGTGAGGTAAAAAAGAGTGATTGTTTCGAAATCAATCGCCTGATGCTCCAGAGCAGATCTGATACGCAACCAGTGTCGAAAGATGGCAGCACATAAATCTGGCACGCCGCAGCACGGACTGTCCCATTTGGTATGTATCACGTTCTTCACCGACTGTTCATGGCGTAAAAGAGAACTGAGCACAGGTAGATGATGAGGCACGGCCAACAACTGCGATATCCTTTTCAAGCACATCTCAAGACTAAGAAAACAATAGTACACGTCGAAAGGGTGTCCCCACATGACCCTGTGGCAAAGACAGTACAAAAGGTAAGTGAGGAAACAGTCTGAACCATGGGCGTTCACCACTGGCTCGATACAAAAGCTGTCAGGAGCTTCAACTAGCAGTCCGTAAACCATCGCTTCATTTGCCAATGTCAAATCTACAAAATCTGCATCGGTAAAGGAGCGGGTACGTAGCAAGTGAGCAAAAGGGATTAAGGTATCCGGCAAATGTTCCAATTCATCGGTCTGCCTACGAAAGTGAAAGCTCCATATTATTTGCGCAGCAAGGTTCCGCAAGTGTGGGCTGACTGCCTAAAAGCGGAGTAAAATGTTAGGTTTTCATTCCTGAT